GCCTGGGAACACATACGCAACTAAGCCTAAGAACCTCCTAAGGAAGGACCTAAAACCCTCGTAGGCTAAGATCACATTCGTAAGGTACACTATAACCCAACCCCAACCCTCAGGCTCAGGAGAGCCTTGCCCTTTCAGAAGCAGGGCACAGCATGCCAGCACTGCGGCCAGCCGCAACCTACAATCCTCAGACGGATTCTTAACCCCTAAGAACGGCAACATGTCGCCGAACTTTGAGGCTGTCATCGCCTTCGTAAGGATATCGGCGGGCATCAGTAAGCCGCTTAAGTGGTAAACCGTCCAAACACCATTTTCGATCCTTTCACGTAGGGCATGGGACCTAAGTCTTAAGTGGCGGGATCTCCAGGAAGTTGGGGGGCCGCTTACAATGCTCATTGCTGAAGAATTATCTCCGAAAAGGGATCGAGTAAGGGGCTCTGGAAAGATCTCCCCAATCAAGGCCTCAACAGCTTCAGCTGCTTGCACAACACAGACGTAGCTGATCAGCTCGCTCTCAGCGGTTGACAGAGCAGTCAGCGTCTGGCGGCCAGATTCCCAGTGGAGCGGAGCTCCAGCCCAGCACACTAGCAGACCCTGGTGGGATCTGCCTGAACTTGGCCCAAAAGAGGCGTCTGCAAAAGCATGCAACGTCGTTTCAACGACCGGCCTCGGATACTGTTGAGAGGCACCGCAGTCACCAGGAGGAGGGCCATACACAATGCACTGGGAGGGTGAAGAATTCAAGAAACGCAACACTCCCTGCCCAATGCTTAGCGCATCCTTTGGCCTCTTGGTGGTCAACTGTGCCATACGGCTGACTGGAAAAGACAGCTCTGGACGCGCTCGAACTGAGAGCCACAGTAGCTCACCAGTTATGCTTTGAGCGGCCTTAACCGCTTCCGGATCAACCGGGTCATCACGGCTTTCGCCATCATCGAAGTTGGCTGACCACGCGGCACACGGAGACTTTGCACTCCCCTGCACGTTGTGCCTCTTCAAGAGTTCCTTGATGTACTTAGTCTGCCCAATCAAAAGACCATCAGCAGACTCCGAAATCTCAAGACCACAATATTCAACTGGGCCATTTTCAGTATGCGTAAATGCGCTGCACTCCCATGTGGCCTTGATTTTTTCAAGAAGAGCAGATCGCTCTGACCAGGGTCCTAACACTAGGAGGTCATCGACATACCAACACATCAAGGCAACAGTCTCACCGCCAGGGGATTTGACAAGCCAAATGTTGGGGTCAGCAACGCACTGTTGCAAGTGGCGGTTCTCGCCATCAACGGTCCAGGTCAGGACTCTGCAGGTTTTGTCCCGGAGGCGGGACCAAGCACGAGGCGAGGTCTGGAGTCCGTAGAGAGCACCATGGACTCTCCACTTGTAGCCCCTCGGGATAACCCCCGCGGCATACAGCACCTTAGGTGGATTGCAGATCAGATACTCTGCCTCCTGCTCATCAAGAGGAGCATTGAGGAAGGCAGTCTTGACATCCGTTCCTGAACCACCGTGCTTCCTCATGCCCGCCCATCTCAAGGCAGTGCGGATCGAAAGAGAACCCTTTCCTCGGACCACTTTTGAAAATTGCCGCAAATTACAGCTCTATACTTATTCCTCTTAGTGGATCCGGGAGCTACAGGGGGCTTTTCAGTGGCAACACCCCGGCCGGAGAGGATCTCTACATCTTCACCATCTAAAATCCATTTTTCAACTTGACCGTCTGCCACAAGCTCAACAGCACCCTTCGAAATTAAGGAATCGCACTCGGCTTTCATGGCATCACGCCATTCATGAAGTTTTTCACGGACTTCCTCATTCGAGACGATGCGGGTATGCAGCAATGGCTGAGACTCAAGATGTTCTGCTGCAGGGGCAGCGGCACACACCCTCCACGAGGAGGAACTGACAGGCTCATCGCAGCCATACAGGCGCGCAAGTTCTAGATGCCAGCCCAACTCATTTCGAAGGGAGGAAGCTTCGCGCATCGCCTGCAAGGTGATAGGGTCAAGTGGGCCTTCGGAAGAAGCGCCCACAACAGATCGTTGCAGTGACTTCAAGAAATGCGTCACTGCTTGGTGCATTTGCTCATATCCCTGAGTCACCTGACTCCAAGATTCCTCTGCCGGGAGATCTGCTTCCTCTTCACCTGAATCACACTCATCCGGAAGCAACCTTGACAAGCCGTCCCCAGGAGAGGGTTCTCCGATGGCGGAAGACGACGACAGAGGCTCAAGGTCCTGGATTGGCATATTCACCCATCTCAAGTTCAGAAGATCCGAAGAAGTTAACTTTTCAAGAGATCTAGGGGTGTAGCCCAAAACCAGGATTTTGTCCCCTTCCCAACTTCCAGACTTGTGGAGATCACGCGGGGGGAAGCTAAGCCAGGCATTTGGCGGAAGAGGCATCTCATGGCCACAAACCTCAAGGGAACCTGAGCCTTGCCCAACATTCCAAACCACATTCATTGACTCAAGAGAATTATGAGAGTCCCGATGGATCTCTGACTCAATGTTGACAACAAAGCCAACGGAGGCAAAGCATTGCCCAGTGCGGTGGAAGAGGCTCACAGCAAGAAGGCGAGTGAGCCAAGGGCACTCATGCACCGTATTGGTGATTCCAACCTTAGCACTAAAAACCCAGGCCCCGGAAGACCAGAACCAAGGAGGGAGCGTTGCTCCTGAGGCTTCATCTTTCTGGTTCCCGGCAAGAGGGCGCTTCGCGATCCGATTGATCGCTTTCTTATCTTGAACGTACAAACGGATAGCATTTGCAAGCTGACCCGTGGAAACGGAGTTTCCTTCAAGAAGCACCTGCTTGCAGAAGGTCTCACACGGAGAGAACGCTTCTGTTGCCGAAGGGGACCCACCAGAGTTAGAGAAGAGCCGAGCAACACGAAAGGCAGGCCCAGCATCAGGGTCCCGACGCGGAGAACGATCTCTCCTGTTCTCAAAGGGCGGAGCCCCTTGGGGATTGGGAACTGGATTGCGAACGGTCTCTTCGGAAGAGCGGAACCGATCTAGCCAGATCATGTTGCTTTCGATCAGAAACCACTGAGGAGGTTGGCCATATCGGATGGCCCGGTAGAGGTAGCCACGACGGTTGGGTTCGCCTTCAAAGTCGACGACCCTTTCCGTTTCTACGACGCCAAGGAGGTCGAGCTCGTACTCAGTGTTCTGATCATTCAAGCCACCGGGCTGATACCCAAACACATAGGGCACGGGAGCATTGGTATGCCGGTGATCCCAAATCATACGCACCTCCGGCATGACGGCCCAATGTCGACCCCGAAGGGCAAACAGTCCTATCATAAAGGCATGCTCGGGGTTGTGCATGGTGTGAAGCAGACAGCCAAAGTTTTGCAGATCAAGCTCATTCCAGCCACTGGCTGGTTCATCGACTGGACGACCACGTTGGAGTCGTTCTGCTTCACGATCACTCAGCACTGCATACCGCCTTTCCCATCGCGGAGTTGGAACATTCACATCCGCTCTATCATTCTGATCAAGTTTTTTCAACCAAAAGTCATACATCGACGGGGCGGGTTCATCAGGCACCGAGGAGGTAGCGGTTCCTAAGGCGATGGCTTTAACCCTTTCCGGGACGTCATATCCACTCGCACTTTCAGGATTATCCTCTAACCAGCGGGCTATCATAGCTCCAACCACAATCCAGCCAACCTTAGGGTCAAGGGCATTGGGAAGCATACGGCTTCCTCGTTGCTCAGACTGGAAACCCCGAATCGCATAATGCAACGTTTTTTCAAGATCATCATCGTTCTCAAGAACTTCCACACAGCCCTGCAGCCCAATCTGAATGATGTACGGGCTCAGCGGCGCACCTGACTGGAGCATGTGACAGAGAGGGTTGCTGGGAGGATCAATGGTCCATTCAGCAATGCTTGATTGCAGGGTGGAGTAAGTATCCACAGTGGAAGTGTTCCCGGAACTAGAAGACACCGGGCCCGTTGCTGACACATCTAGCGATCCCGAAGAAAAGCTAGACGACGAACCAGACGGGTCTGGAGCTCCAGCAGCCTCGGTGGGCATGGGTGGCGAGTAGCCTTGGCCGGGACGCTCAGCAAGCATTGGTGGCGGATAGCCTTGGCTAGACGAAGCGCTGTAGGACCCTGAGGCACTGGAGGCCTCGTCCTTCACTCGGAATGCCCGAATATGAGGCGGGTCAATGGGACCAGGCACAGCTAAGGGACTGGGTGGCTCCTGTTCAAAGAGTCGCAAGATTACAACCCGAATTTCAGAGGTCCGAAAGTCCCTTATGGTGAAGGCAACTAGCCTATCCCCAAACGCGCTATCATCAGCATACCAGCCATCATCATCATGGTGCTGAAGAACCTCAAACAGAGGGGCCCGGCGGCCATTGGCATCTTGATATTCCATAGTGGGATAGCGATCCCAGCGGTGATTTCTCAAGGTACCCCGAAGAAGGAGGAAGGGGATTTCGGTATCCCCATCAACAGGATCACCAGGATCCAAAAAGCGGGTAAGGTCCGACATCCGACGTTCAAATTCCTCCTCTTCAAGATAACACACCGCTGCCCACTGCTCAGGAGACATGTAGGCAAAGGAAACCTGAAGCACGCGGCGGTTGATGCCTTGCGCATTTCTGCCACCAGGGGCCGGATTTGCCTCAGGCATACGCTGTGGGTTCGGCCCAACAAACCTTAGAACCCGATGCCCACAAGGCTCCACGGGTTTCTGCAATCTCCCCCGGGCTCTCTGAACATGAGTCCTCTCCGGATTCCCTTCTATCCTCAGAAGAAAAAACCTCATCAGAAGCAGCTGGATCTTCATAGACACCTTGCAAGGTCGAGAACTCCTGCTGGGGAACTTCCGGCATCCCAGCTGTCTGTGAATGGTCAGCCGAATCTGACAGGAAGTCAACCGGCCCATCCGAACCAACTTTCAAGGAATCCTCGGACTCAGAAAAACTCCGACGGGAAAATTCGCCCGAACCGTAAAAATCCGAAAAATCTGCTATGGCACTCATCCCCCCCGCAGCAGGAAGAGAAGAGAAGGGCCTTGCAATGTGACCCGAACAGAAGGGCCCTTAGAGCCGTGACGGTAGTGGGGTGTCGGCAAAAACGCACCTGTGCTGGAGCCCGACAAAGGCTTCGGCCGAAGAGGAGGCTCAGCAGGCTCAGACGGAGAGCGCGGCCGGTAATCAACAGGATACACCGCCGAAGTAATGCACACCGTGTCATCCTCAAACAGCACAAGGTATGAAGACAAAGTCTGCGGAGCGGGGCCAATCAGAACCCCAGACCGTGTTCGGGACATCCAAACATCCCTGTGGCGAAGGCGCTTGCGAGCCTCAACAGGTGTGCCGTAAGCCAGCAAGGACCTGGCCGCACCACCCAAACGAACAATGCCCTTACGCCACATCACTTCTCCGGCATGTCTCACTGCCGTGGGCCAATGGCACGAAGGCAGGTTCGCCGAAAGAAGAGCTCTGCGGGCCGCCCGCTTGACTTCTCGAATCGCGACCTCAGCGGCGCCGTTTGAGGGATGATCCTCAGGGGCTGTCCTTGTGGAGTGAATGCCCTGCTCGGCCAGAAACCTTTCAAGCGAATCACTCAAGTACTCACGTGCCCGGTCACTATGGAAACGGAAGCACGGAATGCCAAACGCTCGAAGGCGAGCAACAGCACGCATGATCGCAAGCTGCACATTGAAGGACTGGCGGGTCTTTAGAGGCTCTGCCCACACCAAAGTCACAAACTCTTGACCATCATCAGAGTCACTGCCCTCAGGCTGAAGCGGCGGAGGCTTGTGAGGAGATTTAACCTCAAAGCTCACAGGAAGAGCTGAGTCATCCTCCCCCGGCGTGGAAGGAACACCGACGGCCGAGCTTGGCTCTTCAAGGAAATCATCCCCAAGCTTTGTGTACACCTTAACCCGAGAAGGCTGCTCAGCATCCCCCTTTAAGGGCTCTCCGGTAACATGCACCGGTTGGTAGATCAAGCTTGCATGGGGATCCTCTTTATCCTGGGCCTTAGCCTCATCAACCTTTTCTTGAAAAGCTATCTCAGAAGACTTATCTCGCCACTCCTTCTTATCACTTTTTACCGGCACCCTTATTGTGAAAATCACAAAATACCTGCACGCTCCCCCGAAGTCACGGCCCTTGTGGTATGGACCGAGCTCAAACAGATGCGGATGCTTCGTGAAGTGGGAGCGGTCGCGAGAAGCTCCTTGGATGCAAATCGGGCAGTCGTTGCGATACGGCAAGTGATCTGCCTGGCAGTGTCTTTCCCAAACCTCGGGTGACATCTTAGCCACAGTGGCTTCCTGGCACAAGTTGAGAAGGAGTCCTTCTCGCTCACGGGTGTGAGCCTGCAGGCGCTCAAAGCTGACACAGCAGTAGTCATCCCAGGCACGCAAAACCCGGCTAACAAGCCCAGGAGCCCACTCCTTACCATAGAAGTTATGAGCTGGGGCTTCAATCACCTCTGGAGGGAGCTTCAACTCATGAAGAGACTCATACAGCTGAAAGCTGCTGGTATACACTGCAGTGGCCTTAGAGCAGGGATGGCCAAGAGTGCCCTGATCGAAGCTGGCGGTCCATCCCCCCAGACACACAGAAACATTCTCATACTCGGGCCATTCCCACGCAGTAGAAGTCTCACGCATTTCCAAGCAGTTGAAGAACTTCTCTTTGGCACACGAGGCCACAAAGGTCAACAGCAGGGACCGAAGGAACAACAGGGTGTCCCGATCAACCAAAGCATGATCGGCAGGGCTAAGGTCTGAAAACCCAAACCTATCATCCCCTTCTTCCCCTCTAAACTTCAAGCCATTAGAGGAAGACGCCAGGGCTTCAGGATTGAAGGTCCTGCTCGGAGGGCCACATACGACCCCATCGATGACACCCAGGGTGGCTGCCCGCAGCAGCATGCCAAACACATCATCAGAAAGAAGGTCCGATCCTCTGGAGATATCGACCTCAAGCACTTGACCGACAGAATGTCGCCACCGCTGCTTTCCAGCAAACAGATGCACCAAGGTTGGGACCTGAGGGTCAAACAGCTGCCTCCTGGTCCGGCGGTTGAAAGGAACGCAGGAGGGATCAAAGGTGGGACTCACCGCAACCTGAGACGCTAACCGTTCTGGGAGCCCGGGAAAGAGGGTCTTAACGATCAGCTGCAACTCACTTTCGCTGCACGAATCTGCCGCCACATGGGCTGCAACCCACTCCTGGATGCCGCACGTGAATGCCCCGGTCAGTCCAGTTGATCTCACAGCCCAAAAGCGGCAACGCGTGCATCGGCAAGATTGGCTGCACTGACTCCCTGACCAACAAAGTCCCGGCGGAGTTCACATGCATCAGAGCTTCGCCGACAGCGAGAGACACGGTTACCGGGCGGGACTCCTGGATTTCCTGAGGCGATGCCTGGCGGAGAGAAGCGGAGGCCCCGCTATCCAACAAGCCGTAGCCCGTCGGGTTGCTCACAGCACTAAGCCGCAAAGCCTTGGTCTTGATCGACCTTAGCACACTCAAGATTTCTGCATTGATGGCTGCATTGCCATCCCCCTGACTCGGAGCTGCAGCCTCTGCCTGGTCATTCGCGGTCCCAGCAGGCGCGGTTTGAGGGTCTACGGTAGCAACCTTAGGTTTACCCCCAGGCTTGCCTTCCTTACCCTTACCTTCCTTAGCCTTACCCTTCGCCTTACCCTTAGGAGAGGAATCGGCAGGGGCCTTTGGTGGCTTAGGGCTAGTGGAAGGGGACTCCTCATTGGCGGCCTTAGCCTCCGCCTTCAACCTGGCTTTCACCGGGCATGAGTCTGCCCAGTGATCTTCGGCACTGCAACTGAAGCATCGGCCCCGCATCTTTTCCTCATCCTGGTCATGGAAAAACTGACAGGACGACCCATACGCGCAACCGCCAGCTGTTAGCCAGCTTCTGCAAGGCTTCATGCCTGCACCCTGCGTCTTGGGTCCCGCGGGAGAAGTCTTGGCCTTCGGGGTATTCGGAGACGTCTGCAAGCGCTGCAAGCGCTGCTTCTTAGCATCATCCCCTCGGCCCGGAACCTCATCCTTCACAGGATTGTCATCTGTGGAGTGCATCAGATGCTCCACCTCCGCCTGCATCATTCGACACAACTCCGACACAGCGTCGGAGGTCGGCTGGTAGTCAACCCCAAGCCGCTCGCGGAAAGTGGCAAGCCGGAAGAGACTCGCTGAGTGCTTTTGCAACACCCTTCCTGTCAGAACATCTAGACCCTTAACCAAAAGCGTAGTGTCAGGCTCTGCAGCATGCAGTTGCTTCAGGCGCATACGCCATTGGGTCCACTGCCTAAGCAGCTTTGCAGCCTCCGACAAGGTGGAAGCAGCCTTCGGCGTCACCAAAAAACGCAACATGGTTGATCGTTCTGACGCTCCCCCGGGCTGAAACACCGTCATCAGACGGAAGATCATTCCTGCCACACTCAGGTGGCGTGAGGCGACAATGTCAACCCTCACAGCATCCGGGATCGCCTGAAGAATCAAGGTCACGCACCGCTGTTCCAGCAAGGCATGCTGGGGCTGCACCAAGTTTACTTGATCAAACTCCTTCTGGATCGACAGCCTTTCAAGCGGGGAGGTGGATAGCCACCGCACATAGGCCTGGTTGGCTGCCTGGTATGTATAACCCCACCAGACACTTCCGGTGTCTGACAGTGAAGAAATCATCGGCTGGACCACTGCGATCCAATCTCCAAGCGCGGTGGGGTTGTTAGGGTTGTAGGCCTCTAGGGACGGTAGGGAACTTACATGTTTACCCACAGCCTCAGGCCTAAGGTCCTTAACATCAACCCGACCACTATTTCCAACCGGCGGGGCAGCTATGGGAAGACTTAAACCCGAAGGGGCCGGTGGGCTCGGAGGCGGAGTGGACGAAGGAGGCCTCGGAGGAGGCGATTGGTATCGAGGCATTGCCGCTCCCGCGCAGGAGGAGACAGCATGGCAGGATGGCAATGGAAGTTGTGCTCCAAACGCAGGATACTTAGGAGGAGATGGACTGTTGCTCCACGCCCCAGGAGTGGGCGGAGCTGCGACCAAGGGCGAAGTCCACTGCGGAGGAGGAGGAGGGACGAAGTCCACAGGCTCTAAAACCAACGAACCATTAACCACCTTCCAGCTATGATTAACTCCCATAACCCTTATTACACCAGACGAAGTCGGCAACTGGGCACGGGGAGACAGAGCGAAGTACTGAGGTCCAGCACCCGCGGCAGGATGAAGTCCAAAGTCCATCGAAGGAACCTCGGAAGGAGAAACGGGATTGGGAATCCCTGAAGAGGATTGGACTCCTGGGGGCCCTGTAAAAGAGTGAAGTCCAAAGTCCATAGACGGAACCTCAGAAGGCGAAAGGGTAGCCCCAGGAGCACTCGCAGTTGAAGTCAAAGGCACCATGTCCCCGGGAAAAGCCATCGGGGAGTGAACAGATGGGCCAAAATCCATATCGAGGGAGGACTGACGTGGAGGCTCTTGACCCAAAACCAGGTCGTGAGTGGAATGAAGGGGGTCCGAAGCATTCCAGGAAGACCACCCCTCAGAGGCGAAAGGAGGCAGAGGTGGCACCGGGGGCAAAGGATAACCCTCCTCAGACTGAAAGTTTACCCTTTGGCCCTTGAGCTCTAGTTCCTCTACCCTACGCCCAGAAGAGGCCGACCCAAAAGATCTGGATCCTCTCGTACTACGTTCAGCCTCCGCTTTCTCTAGCCTATCATGGAGATGCTCAACCAAAGACCGTAGTCTAACAATTTCGAAATGTTGCTCTGAGGGATCTGGGATCTCATAGGCCGAACTCTTCTGGGACCTCTGGGCTTCCGGAGACAGAGGGATAGACCTCCTTGCTGCGTCTTCACTGACGCTCTCAGCCCTTTCGTTCCCTAATCTCGCGCTACCGGTTTCGACCTCTAGGTGAGACCTGTTCGGAACCCTCCGTTCTGAAGCACCATCCCCGACAGTTGTAGAGACCTCTGGGGTCCCTTGGTTGGAAGATCCAACTCCCGAATCCTGAAGAATGCCCCTTGAAGCCCCCACAACTCTCGGATCAAGTACCTCAGAAACCGAAAAGTTCCGAACTTGCTGACCTCCAGAAGGCTCAGATGCCTCCTCAGGCGAAGTTCTCCGTCCAGTCTCCAGCACCGGCACAGATCGCCGATCGTCAGAGGGTTCATTGTTCAAGGTCTTCAAGCTTTGTTCAGGCTTCATAGGTGACATTGACATCCAGTCAGTAGGCTCTTGGGGTCCCGAGAATCCAGGTTTTCCAAATGAAAGTCCTCGGCCTTCCCCTGTTGGCTCCTGAAACAGACCTCCACGACCTGTTGGCTCCGGAAAAAGACCTCCTCGGCCCCTTGTTCCATGACTGTCTGCCAGCCCACTAGCCGCACGAATAACCTCTGAAGTTGGAGGAGCACCTTTCCCCTTTCCACCAGACTCCATGTCGTAGCTAGGCTCCAAAACATCTTCATTGACCCTTACCTCCGGAGTCTTCCTAGCCTCGTTCAGGTTCTTCGGGCGGGCTTTCTGCAACTCCACCTCGGCCTTCGCCCTTTCACTCCAGAAAGGGTGAGATTCCGAAATCTCAGCCCTTGGCGGACCTTCCGAGTCCTTCTCCGGGATTGCCGCCAAAGCCTCTGCCTGAGCAGCATCTGGAGCATCTGGCTCTTGGCGCTCCGATCTGCGCCGGCGAAGGGAGGTTTCCATTGTTTCGCAGGGGAAGAGACTACACTCTTACCACTAAGCTCAGCACTTAGATACACCCGACTAAGCTAGGACTTAGAGCCTAGACTTACAAAGTTCAGGGAGCGGAGGGCGATACTTAGGGGCCTAAGCCTACGAAGTAGAGCTAAGGAAACCCTAAGGGAGCTTGGGCTCCTAACCTCTTTTCGAGGAGCTACCGGGGAAGGACCTTTAGAAGAACCTGGCTACCTAAGCTTTGGACTCTAGGCTCAACCCTGAACTTACACCCCGAAAGCACGCAACAACTTTATATACGCTGAGCAAAAAGGCCTGCACGTGTGTGTCATCCGGCGCAGGGGCTCATGCTGAAATCACTCCAACAATTAGAATAGGGTTCCTTCAAAGGGTCTGAAAAGGGCTACTAGAAAGGGATCTATAAGGGTACTATAAATGGTAGGGGCCTGAATGATTAGAATTGGGTTTTTTTTGGGGGCTCATTATACTATAAATATAATAAGGAGCACCCAAAATAGTATAGGTACATACTAGGACCCAGAGTAGGCCACTAGTCCCTTATAAGCCCCTTTAAGCCAAAAAAGGCACCCTTCTTGTTCCTAGGTTGCTCTTAGGTCTAGGAATAGGCTTAGGGTGCCTTGCACAACATAAGTACGCAAAACTGACAAAACTCACCTGAACCAAGCCTTGGTTGCAGCTTGAGATCATTTCAGCTATGCTACAGTTGCCTGACGTATCACCCCACCGGGACTTACCTACCCATGCTCCAGAAAAAAGCAGAGCACGCATGGCCAAGGGAGTGCCGGTACGGCAGAAGGATGGGACTCAACGCTCGTGAGCATGCCGAAGCGGTAGAAGAACTTCCCCAAACATGGGATGCCCAGGAGGGGCAGGGGGCCCCCGGCGAGCAGATTCCAGAGACTCTGGAATTTCGTGGGGCTACCATCGAATCCTGTGTATGTAATAGTCGTGTTCAGGTTATAATTTTTAATCCCTATATAATCCTAATTTTTCTGAAAACTTTTTTCCAACCACCAAAAATCCTAGTACAACCTACCCGCAAACCTGAGTCTGAGTCTTAAGGCCGCTCTATGATGGGGGGCCCTCCTTACGGCCTTTGGGGCCCTGGGTCTCTCAGGGGCCTTACGTCGCTGGGGCGGTTGAGGCCTTGTCTTTTAGGGTTAGGGCTTGGGTTGCCCGAAACGGAGTAGAGTAGGTTTGGGTTCTTTGGCCGCCCGAGACGGCATGGGGTGGGAGATACAAGGAAAAGATTTTTACAATCAGGCTGTAACAGTTGGTCGCCACAGTGTGATGCACTCGACACGGCCTGCTGCCTACAGGCTATCGGATGGCAAACCTACAACTCCCAGACACTGAACCCAGAACACGAAACAAAGCCCTGCATCTCGAAATCGGTACCCCAAACAGTGAATTGTGTAAATCCCTTAAACCCTAAACCTACAGACCTACAACCCCTTAAGCCATCTTAAACCCCTAAACCCCCTAAACCCTCAACCTCTAAAGCCCCCAAACCTGCACCCCCGAACCCTTGTAGTAGCCCTTATAGTAACCTTTATAGACCCCTTTTAAAGGAACTTTAGGCCCACGGACACTCCCTGGAGCCAGGAATTCCGATTCTCCTGTGCGGCCTGCCCGCTCCCAGGGTCGGCGGGCGCATTCTTTGCGGCCACACTGCTTAACTAGGTAGGCCCCTCCTCGCCCTTAACCTTACCCTTAGGGGGGGGTACCAACAAGGGCCCCATTCAAAGGGATCTAAAGGGATTCTATACGGGTTTCGGGTTTAGGGCCTACTTGGAGGTTCATGGGTAGTTATGAGTGGGGCTATAAGTCCCCTAGTATGGGTTATCAGTATAGTTACCCTACTTATAACCCCACTTATAACTACCCATGGACCTCCAAGTGGCCTTAACTAGAAGAATAGGGTTCCTTTAAAGGCCTTGCGATAAGGGCTACTTTGAGGGTTCTATATCGAGGCCTTGAGAATTGGAATAAGGTTTTGGGGCCCATTATACTAGAATTATAATCAGGAACCCCCAAAGGTTTTTTGTTTTTTTATTTCTAGAGTAAGCCCCAAAAAGATGGAAACCGGATTAAGGACAACTAGTGCTGGGGTTCCTTATACATTACTGTCAAGGATTGAGGCTATTGGGATTCCAACTTTTGGGCTTCTACTGTAAGACTTGGCTTGCTTCAGGAGTTGATAAAGGTTTCGGAGGGATGTACAGGGAGGGGTTCTCATGGTAACCCGAGTGATGATTGCGAAAGGCCATAGATTGTGAAGGGGGGTCTAAATTTCCGTCGCCATGACCATCATCGCAATCATCATGGTTGCCATCATCATGAGAACACAAATGGGTGCCAGTCAAAATTACGGCCCCTTTTTCGGTACCCTAAATAATAGGTGCCGTATTATATGAAGATACCCATAAGGGACCCTAATTTTGACAACCACCCAAATACAGCCTTGCAATAGAGAGTGCTGGTAACAGAGTCGGGCGGTCATAGGGTTTGGAGCTTACGGCTTAAGAAGGTGGAAAGGAGATGTTTGCCCAACCGACCCGACGCCTTTTTTTTGCAAAATTTGTTTTTAGTATATACTGCAAGAGATACTAAATTACGAAGCTATATACTATAATATATACTGTATGGTGATGAAACCTTGGCTTAAACAGGCTAACCCAACATCCTAGGCCCTTGAGCCAATGTAGAGAACAGGGCAGCAGACCGCGATCGATCCAAAATCCCAAACCAATCCTAAGCCCTGAAGCCCTTAACCCTAAACCCATTTAATCCCCAAACCCCGAACTCTCAACCGGAGCCTTAGCGCCCGGACTAAACCTCCCCGCCTGCACCCAACACCCAAAACCCTTGCTAGAGCAACCCTTCTAGAACCGAAGGCCCTAAAGCCAAAATGCAGGTCCCAAACGCCCAAACCCGACAATCTTCAGACTCCGAAACCCTACACCATCCTGAAGCCACGAGCCCTAAACCAAAGCCCTAAAGCCCCAAAGCTAAAGATCCGACAAACACTGCCGACAAGGTCGGCTGTGGATTTCGATACGCTTCCGGTGGAGATCGCACACGACCCTGATGAGGTCGCTACAGGGTCGGGTTTGGGGTTTGTTACTTGGTGGTCACTACGGGGCGAAGTCAGGGTGAGGGGTTTAGGGTTTTTGTGCCACTACATGGAGGGGTTCGAAGCATGGACTGTGGGCCAGTTTTGCGATTCAGTTTGGCGGTTTAGGGGCTCAGGTCGGGGTTTGGGGTTCATGTGGCCCAGGTGCCTAGACTAGGGTTTCGGAAAGGTGTTACTGTTGGGGCTGGGTTGCGCCTTGCCGGTCCGTGCGTGTCTTGGAAAGTTGCAGACAACCCTGAATTTCGATCGGAAGAAACGAGGGCTAGGGGCTTGAGGCAGGGCTTTGTGATGAGAGAGTGGAGCTTACCCAGTGCAGGTGCGGAGATGGCAAGTAAGACTAGGATTACACGTTGGGCTACAACTACGGCGAGACTCAGCAGTTATTTCAAGTAGAGCCACACTTCTCACTGCGGTCTTCTTAAACCCTGTGGCATTTGCTCTATGAGGTTCACTCCCTGAGCGTTGCTAAGAAGGGTGCCGTGTCAGGTTCGCTGTTGGATGTATCTGATCTAGCTTCGGCTCCAGGGTGAGATTCCTATACTTCTCCTTCTAGCAGAGTAGGTAGCCTTTAACCTTTTTTGGGTAGTATAGTCCCTATATAATCCCTATATAACCAAAAAGGTTAACCTTTAGTTTCCCATGATACCCGACAAGTAGGTTATTTAGTTTAGTTCAGAGTTTACCGAGTTTCCAAAGTCCAGGGGGCTGAGAGGGCTAACCGAGAAGGCCTTCTTAGTCGAGGCTCCCACATAGCGGCGGAAGATGATGGTTCTTCTCGAATGTCACGCAGCCCCTTTTTGGAATGGTCGCAGTTGCATGATGTTGCACCATATAGCCCAAGCTCTACACCCTAAACTCTTTCTGGCCGAGGCCTAGGCCTAGCTGATCAGTTGGAAAAGCTCAAAAAAGAACAACTCTAAACCCTGAAGCGTTACCTGTAGACGCCTTTACAATGGTTCGAGGCCCAGCCCCGAGCCTAGTCCTAGGGTTCAGCAAAGATTGGGCGCTTTACAGAACCCGGAATCGCAAGTTTCTGGCCATAACGGCCTGATGTGTGACCTACCTCTAGGTTTTACAAACCTGCTCAAAACCGCAGAAAAGCACTTCAAAGACATACCTCCCCCACCCCCCTCCCAAAAGAAAGCCCAACCCCGGACGAAGAATCCTCCACATCCCTGAGGACATGGCATCTGTCGAGACGCAATACAACGAAGAATGTGACGCCGGTTGTGCCGTTTGCCAGACGCAGTTGGAGAATGCTTAGGTGCTTGGGATTTAGGGTTTAGGGGTGTTGATGTTTTGTGTTCATGGCTTTGGGTTTAGAAATTTAGGGGTGTGCGGTCTCCACTGTCTTGAAATGCTGGAGCATGTACAGATGCAAGACTCCTAGGGATTAGGATTCAGGGTTTAGGGTTAGCATCATCCACAAGCCTACTATGTATTACCCTATCGCAGCACCAAGAGCTGCACAGCAGAAGCAACAAGACCACATTTCCTGTAAGTCGGTATGCAATATCTTAGTAGCTGAGTAGGTAGCCTTTAACCTGGTGTGGTTTACATATACTCCTACCATAATTGACAAGGTTAGCCTGTTTGGGCTAGCGTACTCAGGCCCTAAGAGGTCCTGAATCCCCAATCCAACGCCTCGCAAGCGGCCGTTTGATGCACAAGTCGCCTCCTGGGCGTCGGTCTCGCAGTGATTCTCGTGGAGGCACTCCCCTGAGTCCCAGAGGAAAAGGCTGGGTAGGGTTTAGGGTTTACGGTCATCGTTTAGGGTTTACGCTTATCGTTTAGGGTGTTTTCCGTTTAGGGTTTACGGTTATCGTTTAGGGTTTAGGGCTTTAGGGTTTGG